TGAGTGTTTTAAAAATGAATTACATTTCAAAAAATTAATTTTATTCGGAAGGAGAAATGTCTGTAAATTCCAGGATTCGATAGCTGTCAAGCTGCCAGGAACGTACGCACGTTGTGCTGAAGACGAATGTTCATCGTGGCTCTGTAGAATACTTAGTTTCATGGGGAAATCATGTGGAAAAATTCACTGCACTAATCCTTGCAAAATCACCAATGCAAAGCGATCATCACTGCTGGCAATGTGTGCTGATTGTCTCGATCGTCTGCTTTCAAAAAAGCCTATTTTGCAACACCGTAACATCCTCGAACGATTCATCACGGAGCTTACGCACCGTATTATTGACGAAGCAGTAAAGGAATCGCTGATGAGTGCGGGAGAAATCACTTTGTACCGCTTCTATCATGTTTTCAAACAGGCTAGTTCACAAGTGTTCCTCGATTCAAAGACCAAAATATTCTTTTAAGGATCACATTCACACTGTTTTCAAAAATTTCATTCCCAGAGATTTGTTCAAAACTCAGTTCCTTTTTTTAAATTGTTACAAACAAATTTGCGGACGGTTTCAGGGGGAATTGGAATCGTTGATAGCGATGGTACCATCACTGCGTCTGCTTACGCTCAGCTACGAGCACGCATATTGGTGGGCGGTCGCTGAGAAACTGGTGTGATTGGCGAATGCATTATTACTGATTTCTTCGTGCTCGCAGTGACATTTTCGCAGATAAACGCTTATCCCCCGCTGTATTTTCACTGGGTTTTTTGTTCCCGGGGTAAAACTTTCGCCAGAAGGCACTTTCGTCATTATGGGACGCCCCCTCCCCTTCCCCAAATTTGTCAAAATCGTATAAGTTTGACAGGGGACTGTTAAATTCGCAAGGGACTGTTAAATTCGCTGACCAAAAGCAGGATAGGGTAGAGGAGCAAAAGACGCGGGAAGAGAGAAAGAGAGAAAATAAGTCAAAAATCCAGGTAAACGACACACCGGGCTTATCGGTGGGATTATTTTAGCGCTAAACTTGAAACAGTCAGGTCGTTAACAATATAAATATTTGCTGACAATATAAATAGTTTACAGTTTGACACATAGATTTATGTTGGCTGCTTATTGGCTTTTCTTGATGCAATAGGAAAGGGTTTTCGTCTGGGGCAGTGGTGTTGCATCATAGACCATGTCCTCCTTGGGGCGTTCCACTCTGAAAACTTCTGAAGACATACATTTGAATTTTCACCGAATTTTGAATTCCAAATAGACACATGCATTTCTATAGAATTATCGTTTCTGGCGAAAAAAAGAAACCCAGGCTGGAACGCACCAGGCGAGACGGTGCGATCACGCGTTTTTGCACAAGACTTGAAATAATCAAGTTAACTGCATGAGTGTTTGCTTCTTCACACCTACCTTGTGCTCTCAATACCGCAAATCATCGTAAATAAAAAGAAATAAACAATTTCCGTTTGGCGGTCGTTTTTTGAAAACGACCCAACCGTTCAATGAGTAATTTTCCCGCTAAAAATTTAAGTGCCCGTACACGAGAACCACGCATACCTGGGGGCTGAATTTGATAATTTTAAGTCGTACATAGGCTGGGAACATTCCCTGAAAATTTCAGCTTCCCAGCTTTGCTAGTTCCCGAGTTAGCC